CCTTCAAGGCTTCGCTGGGCGCCCTAGCCTCGCCCTAGAGCACTCGCCGCCACGCCTCGCCATGAAAGCTAGAGCAGGAGTCCAGGGTTCGAGGAGAGGCTGGCGGCAGAGGCCTGGCGGGCTTGGGGAGGTGCGGGCACGGCTCATTCCTGCACTCGGGGTTCAGGCCCACCACCCCGCACCCTCTGTGAATGCTTCCCACAAACTCGACGCTTTGTTCCCAGCTCCCAGCATGCAGGTGCACTCAGCCTGAGGTCCGGTTGCTTCCCCCTCTGCCACCGGCTCTGGCCCAGCTTCTGTGACCCCACCTTTTTGTCCCCATACTGAGTAACGCGGCATCTGCAGTCCTTTCCAGGTCCTCCTGGCTGCTGAGCCTCCGTGCGCTGTCCTTGGTACCACCGTAACCTCAGCACTCTCTGTACCAGCTGCTTTACGAATTTCCTCAGTTCTCCTGGACACTCCCAGAATATGCTTTCGAGCAGTCACCCCACCCTGCCCCCTTTCCTTCCCACCACGTCGCCCTGCCCTCTTCTCCCCGTGTTCACCCCTCATCTCCCTCACAGACTTCTGCTTCCAGCCACTCAGCAGCAGTCCTCTCCTGCCCTCTGCACCCACCACAGGCCCCTCCTCAACATTCAGACCCTTTTCCATGACCTGTTAGATCAAACACTAGCTCCACCAGCTCTTCCCTTCCCTAAAGAGTTCCATTTTGTTTGTGGCTTTGTGCATCGGTCCACACTCTCTGTAGAGAAGCCTTGGCCAGTTTTTCCACGTGTTCCTCTCTCTGCCATACTGCTCCCCCCATCCCTGAACCAAAGATGCTTCTTCTCCAACCACCCACCCACTTCCAGCCACAGCCTCACTTCAGGTCACTAGCTCAGCTCCCAGCCCATCAGCCACTTCCATTTAATCAGCACCACATTCAAATGCAGTGTCCCGTGTTTAATACAATGGCACTAAAGCATGTGTGCATGTCGTTTTTTTAAAAAGAAAATAAATTGTATATAATGCATATTAGACCAGAGTTTCTGAGCCTTGGCACTATTGACATTTGGGGCCTGATATTCTTCATTGTGGGAGCTGTCCTGAGCCTTGTAGGATGTCTAGCAGCCTCCCTGGCCTCTGTGCACTAGATGCCAGTAATACACAACCAACAATGTCTCCAGATATTGCCAAATGGCCCATTGGGGTCAAAATCACCCCTCACTGGGAACCACCACATTAAAAGAACTTAATATTTAGAGACCATCTGTAGTAATGGATTTTTTGTAATGTGAAAATCCATTCTGTGTTTTCATATAGAAAAGCTTAGCTTTTGAGATTGAGCTGTTTCAAAATGGAATAGTACACTTGAACATAGACATATATACCTGCAACATGCTACCTACATATATGTGTTCTAGATCATTCCCATAGCCTGAATTTGGGTTCTCTTTGTCATAGATGCTTGTTTATGTCAACGCCGTCAAGATCATTAGCACCATGAAGTCAGTAACCTCCTTTTCTGCACACTCTGTGAAGTGCACACCTACCATGACTGCAGGGTGTGCCTGCAGGGAGACCAGCACAGCTTAGAGCAGCAATGATGTTATCCTGACAATGACGCACCCACTCCTCCTCCTTCGTGTAACACCAGGCTGAAGAGCTGATAGCCCACATTTTTAGAGATATAACCTTGAATGTCATTCTGAATGGATTTTCAGATCAAGAAAAGGCAAATATTTTTCTCAAGTATTCAGGACATGAAATAACCATGGGTGTTCTGTGTAAGCCCAGTGCCATAGTTGACTCTTAAAGCAAAATCAGAAGCATCTGGTGCCCACTGCCAGTAACCCTTTCCACTCCCCTCCCCTTGCCTACTTTTCTAAACTCTACCATCCTGCTTTTTAACCCACCCCCACTTTTCAAACAGGAAATGATCTCGTTAGTACCAGAGTTCTAAAACTCTAATGCCTACAAGCACCAGAGAGCTGGTATTAATGAGAAAGAGGCACAGTTGTTTCATAAGGACTGCTTAATTTAAATTTTTCAACCCACACACACATTGTTTATGTGTTGTAAGAGTCTTTTTCACACCCTGGCTGATGTGGCTCAGTTGCTTGAGCGTCTCAGGCACCGAGAGGTCGCCAGTTTGATTCCTGGTCAGGGCACATGCCCAGGTTGTAGGCTCAACCCCCAGTAAGGGGTGGGGTGCAGAAGACAGCAGATCGATGTTTCTCTCTCATCAAGGTTTCTATCTCTCTCTCCCTCTCCCTTCCTCTCTTTCTAAAATCAATTAAAAAAAATTTTTAGAGTATTTTCTACTTCCTTAAGAAAATATATTCTTTCCTTTTCTTGAATCACTTTTGTCTTCTCACTTTTGACAAAGGTAAACATTCTGTGAAATATTTCTTTACTTATAAAAAGACACAATGCAAGAATAAATGTAAGTGGCAACTGGCCTTTCGCCTGCCTTTCGCCTCAGAGTTGGGGCAGAATAGGGACTGGTGCTGACTGTGGGGAACTAGTAAGTATGTCTCTCTTAGGAGGTAAGCTGCCCTTTCTCAGTTCAATTGATTGCTGCCCTGTGAAAATGTGGGCTCAGTATTGCCAGATCTCCCCATTTTTCACATGAAGCAAGAAATCCAGGTTTTATATGAAATCTCCTGGTTTAAAAATTGGCTGAGATTTTCAAACACTGTGCAAGCCAAACACTGTAGACTGCCAGGATATGTATTAAAATTTTGTGATTAAAATTTGTGACTGAAACTCATTATAGCAATCTATTCCCTTTCCTACCAATTTGTATCTTCAAGTGATTTAACTCTAATTGTGGAGTGAAAGGTTATGTCAGCTACGAAAAATCTGAGTCTACAGGGATAGGAGGAAGGAAGGTTCTTCTTGGGCATAAAAGTGCATCAGGTCCAAGCCTAGCCCTAAAAATTAATATATTTTAGTTTCAGGAAGTCTTTTTTTTTCCATCAGTAAAAACTGATTTATTTATTCAACAAATATTTACTGGTCACAAAATGAGTGCCAGTGACTGGGCTACATACTGGTCATACAATGGCAACAACTAGACAGAATCCCTGCTCTTGTGGAGACGATGATTTAGTGAGAAATAGCCTTTAATTAAGTCATCGTGCGTTAAATAACCACACAGAGAAGTACCAAATCCCTCCCAGAACTCTCTTTATTGAAATGTCTGATAAGAGTTTTTAAACCCTTGAAGTGAACTCAACAGGTAAGTTGAGTTCATCATAGTGAACTCATCATAGTTTCCATGATGCAGAAGTAAACTAAGAAAAGCTGTGATGTTTAAAAAGATAATCCTATACATTACCAAATCTCACTTTGAAGTCATTTATCTCTCTCCCAAGATGGGACATTTTTTAAAAATAAAGTCTGAGCAAAGAAATTTCTAAGAAGTTGTGAAAAGGCTTCATATTCTCCTGTTTTCTTTATGGCTTTGTTCTGAAAAGTTATTCCTCAGTGACCTAGTTTAACCAAGGGTCTACAGACGCATCGTGGTAAAACAGTGTAAGTCTTCTGTCATTTCGGCCTCGCTAATCTTCACTGAAACCATCAATAGTTTCCTAAGGGGCCATGAGCTTCATAAGGGACCATGATCAGGAGAAAGAATGATTTTGTTTTCTCAGCTTCTCCCTTCTCCACATCCCAACAAATCAGACCTTGTTTTGATATTTTCATCTTATTAAAGCTCTGTGCTCTGCCCAGCTGGCATGGCTCAGGGGTTGAGCATCCACCTAGGATCCAGGAGATGACGGTTTGGCTCCCGGTCAGGGCACATGCCTGGGTTGCGGGCTCGATCCCCAGCAGGGAGCGTGCGGGAGGCAGCCGGTCAATGACTCTCATCACTGATGTTTCTATCTCTCCCTCTCCCTTCCTCTCTCTGAAATCAATAAAAATATTTTTTTTTTTTAAAAAAAAAAAAGCTATGTACTCCTGTGGTAAGTTTTTATACACATGAAACTGAATTTACACTTCTGAATCAGTTTCTTGTGTTTGGACATGATCTACAAGTGAAGGGAAAGAGGCAAAGACAGGTGGGAAGTGGACTGCTTCTGTTTTTATTTTTAAACTTTAGCTTCCTGAGTCAAAGGATATAAACTAATAGTACACTAAAAAGAGAGTTTTCATGGTTGGATTTTTTCCCTTAGTAAATAGAACCTCTATTATTTCACACTACCCAACATTGTTGGGTTGTGTATCATAGTATCACAAGTTTACCAAATTTATTTTTAGATGGCCTTATTCATTCCACTTAAAGTTAACTGTCTAGTTTTAGAGAAAGACCAGCAGAACTTATACGGGAGGACTGCAAGTTAGTCGATCTGGGTTTTAGTCTCTGCTGTTAATTTCTAGGGTGACCCTAAGGAAGGTCAAACTTCTGAAGGCCTGTTCACCTCAGAAGGACTTGGTGATCTCCCAGGACCTTCCCAGCTACACCGTGTGCTGAATTGATTTCCATGATGCCTTGATTTCAAAGTGGATCAAGTCTTCTAAGAACAAGGTCTAAAATAAGCCTTGTGAAAGGGAGTGTGTTGTCCAGAATCCAGAGCACTCTGGGTGTCTCAGATCCTGGCCTCTCTTCATGACTCATTGGCTCCAGTAGCCTTTGGGTCTGTTCCCACTTGTACAACAAGCGTGATCCCACCTATTTCTAAGGCATCCTGAAGTCCTGAGCCTCATATTAGCTCTATTAGTGTGAGATAAGATGCTAGGGAAGTATAAGATACTAGGGAAGTATATGAAGTCAAGGAAATACTTTTTAAATGTTTTCTTGTTATGTGTTTTATTGACCTTTTATATATAAAACTCAATAATCAGGAGCTATAGATCCTAAAGCAAAACTTGTATTTCCTACAGTCCTTTCATACAGTTGTCCTGCCTCCTGTCACCCACCTTACCTCCTGTCCTCTCCTCCTCCTGGCTATAGTGTGTCTTTGACTTTAACACGATATTATTTTCTCACATTCCTCTTTTTTCTTCCTCCACAGGGTACATCCCCAGTTACTTAGACAAAGACGAGCTATGCGTGGTGTGTGGTGACAAAGCCACGGGGTATCACTACCGCTGCATCACGTGTGAAGGCTGCAAGGTAACTGCCCTGGGGCCCAGCCCCAGGCCCCTCGCACCACAATGCAACATTAAGTTTCAGTTCAAAACAGAACCAAATTCCAGCATTTCTGAATTTCTGGGTGTCTGGTTGTCTCTTTATTTTTTGGCATGTTTAAGAACTACTTTTTTTTCCATCAAAAATAACTAAATGAATTTTTGAGAGAGAGTGATGTCTGGTTTTTTAGACAGGGAGATGATAAAATTAAAAGAAATTAACAAAATTCTCACTTTGAGTTTTAAAATGCATAGATATAACATGTTATCATCTCAAGAAATCATCACTTCTCCTGTTTTATCTCCAGTGCTTTAAGGAGACAGAGTTTGTGCTCTACCACAGGCTGTTGGCTGCAGTTAATCTGAGTGAATATGCTCACTTGTAAGGGCTCCATTAGGGAATATTTTTGAAACTGCTTAAATTCAGTTCTGTTCTGAAATTACCCAAATTCGCTTTCTGCTCAGCCTGCAGTCAGTAAGTAAATTCTGTTCGTCCATCAGCTAATTTCATGCTCTGCAGACCCATCTTTAAGGCATACTTGACAAGGCTACACCAGTAATCAAGAGTCAGTTCACTTTCCGAAAGTGAGCCTAAGTTTGCCTACTTCCAGTCTCTGTCACTGAAACTAAGATAAGCTTTCTGACAAACATCTTTTGGTCCAACAACCCAGCCTAGAAAATAAAGTCTACTATAAAGGTGAATAAAGCTTAACCCAGTGCTATAGCCAGTGTTCAACTACCGTTTTATAAATGAGGAATATATTAAGTCGTAAGAGACTTTTTAAATGTTTGATTTACCTTGTACATTTAAACAAAATTGTCACAAGATGCAATTCCTAAAACAAAAATTGTATTAAAACGTATAAAACAGTTCAGTCTTCCCTCCTCCCTCACCCACCTTCCCTCCTCTCCTCCCCTCCTCCAGCTACCCCATTTCCTCTTCATCTTTGACCCTAAACCCCCCAAATCAACATGTTAGCTCAGTTTCAGGCTAAGGTGCCCCACTTCCCCAGTAGAATTATTTTCCACACAAATTCCCTGCTTTTTGTGCCTGAAGTTAAGAAACACAGCAGAAGCCTGCTGAAAGCTGACACATCCGTTGGAAAGAAGTCATTTCTAAGGTTCCAGAGCCTTATATCTGCAATTTGGATTGTGATGTCATGTGTTCCCATTCCTCCTGACCCCTTTGATCTGGAAGCTGTAACCTTTTAACAAAGATGGGGCTAAAGGTTGCTGTTACATCCATGAAAATAACCTCTTAAGGAGTTCAATAGAACTAATTATAAATAAGTCCTGGCTGTTTATTAATTGGGGGGACTTGCAGACTGTCTCTTGAAAGACAGTTTTTTTCTACTTGATTTGAAAATAATAAAACTGCATTGTTTCAGATACATTCTCTTATTTGAAAAGCTCAGTAATACAAATGGACCTTTTTTCTAAATTAGCCCAATTCATAAGGCTTTACTGACCTGATTATGCAGCATCGAGATTCTTTCAAATCCATTTCTAATGGGAAATTTTCAATTCTGGAAGAGACTCTAATGAAAATTCCATTTAATAATCAACTCCCAAAATGACTCTAAAGACTGAACATGCCTTACACAGAGGACTTGCTGCTCATTAGCAACTGACTTAAGGAAGGCAGAATCAAGCGTATTAACCTGTGCTCCTGCCTCACATATGTCTTCGTGATGATCGAGAAATCCACTAGGCTCTTTCCCCCAAATCACAGGATATGTGGGGCCTGATTCAACCGAGGTTTACTTAAGAGAAGAAACTGTCTAGCATACAGCTAGATTTCTCAGCCTCTGCCTTCGTCTCAGATCAGAGTCCTGTTTCTAGGATTGCCTCAATTCCAAAATCAGAAAGAAGCCTCCATAGGGTGGCTAGAAGATTATTTAATGTGAGGACAAAGTATCTTGGAAAAAGACAAGAGTTTTTCCAATAAAACACAGTTTTTAAGTGTAGCTAAAGATGTTTTTTAAAGAAAGATTACCCTTCACAAGTTTGTTTATTCAAACTTATCATTTGAAAATATTTCTACCCCATACTTGCAATGTGTATAGGGAGAATCGTTTTTGGCCATTTTTGCCCTGAAGACAGTGGAAATCATCTGGAGATGTTTTATCTGTTTTGATGGGCCAGTTTTTATGCATCTTTTGTAGAACAAATGTTGGCAGTGCCCCACAATAAGTCTTTTTTTTTTTTTTTTTTTTTTTTATTTT